TTGCATTGTTCTGGTATCGAAAAATACATCTCTGAACTGTAAAAATATATATATCTTAGTCTCCAAGTCATTAAGTTTCTTGAGACTCCCTAAAGAGACTAGATATCATATGAAAACTAGTAGGCTAGAATGAAAATTCCCTATAGACCACCGTTGTTGAGATATCAAGTTGTAATTTATCGCATTTACTATATGTTTTGGAGATGGCCACTCGCTTGTAGTGGCCACTCGCTTGTGAAATACGTTAGTTAGTTACCTAGTTAAAGTCTATTTAGGAACTCACGATAGATCTTATTAAGAACCCAATTAGATAGGACTAGAAGTAGTAATTTAAATAGCTCCGCTAGGAAACTAGCGAGACTAAGTAAGAGAGAGAGGAAGAGAGAATGTAAGAGGAAGGAGAAGCCTTCATCTCCACAAGCAAACAAGCAGTACTAGCCTGAACCATCAGGCCGCTGAGCGACATAGGTCACGCGACCAAGGTTCCAACATTTTCCCCTCAAGTTCTAGCACCCCAGTCTTCAAACCAATCCAAACAAACCCTAGGCATTTGGATAATTGAGTAAAAACTAGCCAGTAAAGATTTTCCGTGGCATGGAGGTGGTGAAGAAATGTCGTGTTACGCGCCTTCACACGTTGCGTAGACAAGCTGACTTTGCTGGGCAAACTTTCCCTCTCCCTAGGGAATCTTTGTGCTACCCAAGTCTTCTGGGTCCTGAGATCGAGATTGAAATGCATATATCTTGAAGAAATTCGACCTAATAGGTTGACCACACGTATGAGTATTGAAAGGGCTAAATTCTTTTGGTAATATAGTCATAACTGTCGTACTTCCTGCAACCCATGAGTAAATGTTGGAATGATAGCCATGGTGGTCAAAGACAAGTACCAATGTGCAACCTGTGTAAGATACCCACATACATTCTCCGCTTCCAAGGCAGCAGTCCCAGCTCGGCCAAATACTCGGGACACGCATCCAACGAACCCCCAATTTTCACATCCGCCAAGCCTGGAAACTTACTTATTTAGGTACTGTGAATAGCTTCAGGTTTGCGGCTCATTACTGCCGTTGAACCTTGCAAAAGGTGACAGGTAGCATCTCTAAGCAGAGATTTCTGCCCGGCGGATGTCATCATATCTCAGGGACAGAGATCGGGTAGTGTTTGCCTATTTGCTTGCTTACCCCGCCAACAGAGGTTTTCCCACAGCAACTCTCTTCCTTCTTTCATCTGCATGACCTACGTCCTTTACATCGTCGCTGCATCCTGTATCTCTCTTTGCATCTATCCTGCATCCTCAACGACGTCGATCCTTATCAACCTCGTCGACCTCATCGTTCTCAGCGTGTCAACAAGCCTCGGAATCGGCCAGAACGACCTTTCGGTAGGGATTATCAACATCCCAAATCCTATCGGGGACCCACAGTCCTAACAGAGCTTTTACACTCTTGGATACTCATCCATCGGATATTCATCCACTGGGATTTACGGCTTCCCTAACTGCCTACCTTGTCGACACTGACCTGCTCGGATTTCTCGACAAACCTCCTCGTCGAGATTGACATCATTCAGCTTTATGATCCACGTCGACATTGACCTCGTCAACTTCCTCGACAGACCAGACCACTCGGTTCTATCATGTTCGACTTTTCGTTGACCAGCTGGGCCTTTCGCCCAATATCAATTCGTCTGGTCAACATGCAACTTCATTTGTATGGAAAAGCCTGTCGCTTTTCATCTGTATTCAATTCGGCCTCCCAACCTTCTCCCTCGCCCATTCCAGAGCCCATCTTTTCTGAATATACTGCAACACGCGGCGTTGTGCGATGGAAGCGAGTAGGGCTCGATCGCCAGCCAGCCGGTCACTACCGCATCTCTAGAAAGCCTCTTCAAAAGACAAATGCAATAAAAACATATGTCGACGAAGCCTGCGTACCTATAGCCAAAAAGTTAGTTTTATCCAAACTGTCTGAGCAGCTTGTTTGTACTCCAAGCTCATGAGGGGCAGCCCGAGCAGATCTTACGGCAAACGAGGTGGAAAATTGTGGTAAGCTAATCATTGTCGATCCCTCTCACAAGCTGAGGCTTAGTGGTCTTTTTATACGTTCAGTATATTTAAGAAGCAAGATATTTCAATACTGGTGCTAAAATTAAACGTCAGGCTCTACTTCATCCACAAAAGGGACATTATCCATCGGCGTCTCGAAAAATTCCGTTACAAGCCGCACACAATCCCAGATGGCCTGCATGTCCTCCTTGGAGAGTCCCAATCTCATGGTGCCCCGAATATGCCAATGGCTCGGATTCTTCAAATTCTGGCTCATAATCGCCGGTAACACCACCATTTGAGTGTCAATATCGCCTAGAACTTGCATATCTGATAGAAACAACCCATATGTGATCTCCTTGGTTAACCACTCAAAATCTCGGTGTGCGGAGAATATGTCAATAGTGGAAGCGGCATTCTGCGCGTAGACCTTCTTGAACCAGGACATGCCACGGACATGGTTGAATGCGTTGCACTGCCAGCTCTCGCGAGTACAAGTATAGTCCTTGTCCTGCTCTTGTTCGAGTCGACTAATGGATAAGATTGCTACAATGGGCTTGGGGACGCCGACAAGGATAGTAGACTTAAAGAGGGCTTCACGGAGGCGCCGGATAAGATACTGGCGAGCACGTGGTGTGGAATGTTCTTCTCGGGAGATCAGATGTCGGTAAAGCTGATCGGCAGACTCGGGATGCGGGCCAGCTACAATGGTGGACACTGCAAGCAGATACCATTTGTCGCTTGAAAGACCAGCGGTGTGTAGCCGGCTTTCAAGTTCTCGGAAAAGGGACTGGAATCGTGGTTCCACTTCCTGTGGCGTAGAGGCCGCTGTGGGGCTGTTGGGGTGCAGCCATTGTCGATTGTTTTCGAACGTCCGAATTAGGGGCGTGGTTAAGAGATGGAACTCGTTGTAAAGATTGAGAAAGGAGGTTAAAATATGAGGGTTTGATTGTGTTGATATGGTGGTAAAGAGTACGGTACTGACGGAAAGGCATATTGGACGGTTCTTTACTTTCAGATAAAGTGTTGCCAGAATGTGAGCACAGTGTCGAGTTGAAATTGGTCTCAAGTCCCCGTAGCAGCCTTTCTTGGAGAAGAGTCAAATCCAAGAAGGAAGATATTCTTATAGAATACGAAGCCCAAACCTAGTCAGGAGAACATAGTCCCAATAGGGAGGATGCATAAGAGGTTGCTCCACAGCAGCAGTTGTATATGTGGGTATCTTCTTTCAGTAGTGATGACGACTACCCAAGACCCGAGCGTGCTTTGCGACAAGGTGAGCCGCGTCCATTTATTTATGAATATGTAAACATATGGTCTTTCAATTAATCTTCGGTCTTGGTGAGAGTTTAGATGTTTCATCCTCTGTTTGGCGTTCCATCTGTACGTAACCCGTTTCATACTAGTACTCGGCATATAAACAACCGTAAGTTGAAGTCAACTATTTTTTGTAACTCTTACTATCATTGACGTCAGTCTGGCTTTGTGTAACTCATGGCTTTAAATCCATAAGCCCATAACATTTCACGTGGAATTTGATTTAGTTTCATGAGTGATGTATTACTATCTAGAACCTTTTTGGGAAAGACACTTGCTAAATCCGGGGGCTCTAATTACAATCCTTTAACACTCAATTATTGGCTCAAAATTATAAGAGATCCAGCATTCTGAAACCGGCTGATCACATTGCTCCGGTTATACCGCAGATGAAAAAACGAGTCTCATAATTGAAAACGTGAAGATTGGAGAGAAAGACTTAGATCGGGACGTAATTGCGAGGAAGGAGCGCGCTGTCACTCCCACAACAAAAGGGTGCCGCTGGTGAGGACCAGCTACATAGGCAACACCTCCGTGAGGGTAGGAATAGAAAAAACAGCCGAAGCAATCTTAAGTCGTAGGCCATTCTCTCAAGAATAGTCGAGCGAAGGCTAATCATTCCTTCAAGAATAGGTCAAGTTCGTCAGTTCATCAAGAACAGGTCAAGCTGAAGCCAGCCGTTACTGCAAGAAATGTCGAAACAATTCCGGTAGTTCATTAGATACAAACTCTTCAATTCTGGCACGTGCCAACTCTCTACAGGATGCTCGAAGCTAGAACTGCGCCAGTTTTTCGAACTGGTTATCGTTCGGCACCGCAATGGGGCGAGGATCTCACCGTACTTGTTAGCGTTGCGTAAAAGACTAAATGTGAAGCCCTGGGAAGCAAGGAATCGCCTGGCACAAACCTGGTTGACGGTTATCGCACCGTTAACAGACCTGGTGTTACATGCTAGTTTTGCAAAGAAAAGAGTGCATTTCATTCCAAATGCTAAGTACCAAAGGGGAAAAGAAAAGGAACAAAGGATTGGGGTTGTCGTCCAAGCGACGCAAACATGGGTTAGGAAGTTTTCGGTTGACTTACGGTCAAGGACGGTGAAAACTGAGGGAACAGATAAGGGGATAGAACTGACATAGTCCCTTCCAGATCGTCACACCTAGCCCAAAGTTCCCACTCCAATAGTTCGTTATGGTCTTGTTCAGCGGCTAGTCGAACCAGCAGCTGTCGACGGGCATAGTTCAGCCTTTCCTTCACGCCCATAGCATGTGATAGCAAGTTCTGATAGTGGGTATAGCAGCTTCGACGTGATTTATTGCACGACTAGCTGACGCGAATCCGGAGCTGTGTGAGCCGTTCGAGATGCCCATCATTCGGCACCGGAATGGCGCGAGGTTTGGCCACTTTCCCTTATTAGCTTTGCGTAAAAGACTAATCTTGAAGCTGTACTAGTGGAGTGTGAAAAGAAAGGATCCATGAATGCATAGCGGTAAGCTTGTCTATGAACCAAGGAATTGCCTGGCACAAACCTGCTTCACATTTTTCACGCACTTAGCCGATCTACTCGCACAGTTCGCGCTCCAATTGTTGGCCGTCTGCCTCTTCCTCATCTATGCGGCGTAACTTGTCGAAGCCGGAGACGGCGCCATCGTCCTCTCAGACGCTCTAGTATAGCGTCGAAATTCGGGATAGCGGCCGTTGCCGCTTCGAGATCGGCGATGGCTCTAGCCACGGACTCCTCAATCCTAGCGCGGGCCGCCTCTCGCTGGAATACGCGGAATTGTAGCTGTGCCAGCTCTTCAAGCTGGTCATTGTTGGGGACTGGAATTGGCCGAGGGTAGGCCTCTTTGCACTGGTTAGCTTGGAATTCGAAATAGGTCCGGGGATGGGTTTTATCTGACTGGTTTGAGATGATTCTATGGGTTGTGTGACAAAGTTGTAGAGATTTTGATGGCAGATGTTCATGGTTGTTAACCTGTCAAGTAACAAGTCTTAGCTCATTGTCTCGTTGTAACTCTTGAGTCATGGGCCATACCCTATCTGGTCGATAGGAAATGATTGTCGAAGAAGACAAAATGGAAGAAAATGAGAATAGTTGTTAAATAGCAGTGAAGTAACTGCGTTTTCACGAGGAAGGGGCGATTATCATCTTTAACTAAGCCTGTCCAGACTTATGAGTAAGAGACCATTTACGATGAGCATACAGGAAATTAAATAGTTTATGTGAAAGTGATATTTCATAGATTATAGTGCGATAGGCTCAGTGGAAACTAAGAGCGGAGTGGGGTTTGGTGATAGCAACTGCGGACTGTTACTCAAGAATGTAATGTAGGCCTGAGGAACCAGATTTGTGACGGCCTACTCCAGCTAACATATACTATTACGTTCTCGTATTCTATGTTTGTCTTCTTCTTCCACCCCCCAACCGCATATATAGGTAGACATTATCATCTCTCATTTTCTCCTTACTTTTCATCAAGATCGTTTCTCACTCACAGCTATATCAAATATCAATTGCCCATATTATGGATCATCTTCTATATCTGAAAGTATTTACTTAATTCCTGACTGTGCTGTTGATATCAGTGAATCATTGATCGTACTTCATCAGTCTTTCTCTTTGCCTTTGAAGGTGACAGTCAGAAATCCCTTGTGAAGACACAGTCTCTCATTATACTGGCTATTTAATAGCCCACCAACCGCTCTTCTCGCCTTCACTTCATCCATTACAACAGCAGCAATGTACATACCATCACCACACTCTTTCTACCTAAGGTGAGACCCACTGATCCAGGACAGAACTCATGATCAACCAAAAGACTGAAGCTTTTGACATCCCTGGGTGCTTGATTCTCGATCTCGTTTCCACAAGTCCAAGAGACATTCCGATGCTGCACTCCACTCGTGGTACTCCGTTCATGACTACAACTCAGCCGCACTTTGAAGACGAACCTGACAACAATGAAATGGCGGACAACCACCTAATCCTCAGGCCAACGGACGACGAAGTAGACGAACGGGCTCGGTTACATACCAGGCCTATCCAGCGAGCTCGTGCGCGTGCAATCGTTATGCAAGAAGCACAACATATCCTGGCTTGCCGACTCGTTCTGGATGCATTTGAACCAATACGTCCTTTCACCATTGCACCTAGAGACATCTCACCTAGAGACATTGCGCAATGTGCTGGGCCTTTTCCATGGGCTACACGCCGAGGAAAGAGAGCGACGAAGAGATGCTGGGGATGGGGGAGGAGTAAGAAGCTCCAAGGCAAATCACCGGGCTAAGTGCGACCTTACTCGCTAGAAATGACAGATCAAACGGATTAAGCATGATCCGTATCGACAAAGTTGCCGATTACAAGCTTCCTCGACCGAAGGAAGAAGATCCTAAATACGACCTACAGGAATACTGGTCAGGCATTATCTACGGTTAGATCGAGAACCTGCGCAGTACTTTGCTTGCCAGCACAATTGATGAACAGTACTGGCTTTGTTTTATATCAGTAGATCTCTGGGAGAAGGTTGATAGTTGCACCTTCCTCGTGAAAGGTGCGGTCCCAGAATTGCTATTTAAGATCCTCCTTACCCTTACTCTTCTCCTCTTCAACAACCACACTGACGATTACCCACAACCTTGGAAATTTTCAGGTAAAATCCCTTGGCCCATCACCAGGACTTTCAAGACGAACCAATCTTCGTTTTCCTTCTTCGCCGAGGAAAACAAGCCTACTATGCCTACCATGCCCAATGAGCTAAATGTCGCCGTCCAAAATGCTGACTCGTAAAGGTTGTTTGCAGTTCAACATCCACTATCACTCCATATCCTTTCAAACAACACGCTCACAGTGAGATAAAACTCCTCTATGCTCCGTGCCTAAATTCCATATCGAACACAAAGCTGACAAGATAGAGATGGAGCAAAATCAGCCAAGCGAGTCGTTCACAGACGCGGAGCTCGAGGAGTTAAACCCGCGCACGGGTTAGATTTGCCCAGCGAGCCCGGATTTGCTCACTCCTCATGCGCGAATCTCAGGCAATCGTTCACTGGGACATTTTCCTAAGTCAATTGAAGCAATACGTACTGTCGCCATAGTACCTACGATATCTCCGGGATTTCCTTCGCCGAACCTGGAGACCATGCTAGATGCACTGGAGCAATTACGTCTTCAGGAGCACGATAATGCAACGATGGGGTTATGGCAGGAGTAGGAAGATAAGCAGGACATCACCTGTCTGTTGCACCTATGAATAGGTGTACTGCACACTTTGATGGAAGTTCGAACAATAATACCATGACACCTTTTAGCTTCCTTTCATATTAGTAAGATTAGCATCATTGGGCTCTAGCTATATAGGTACTTGTGACAGCACCACCCGATGAACCTCATGGGTGCTGAAAACTTTGTCCTGTAGCTTTTTTTGAGCCTAACCACGCTGGGGACAGCCCAAAGATGAAATCACAAATCCTACATTGCTTCCCTTTGTCACACGTACCTCCCTATGTTCTAAGGCGAATCAAACTCTAAGACTATGGTCATTGTAGAAGGTTATTCTGCCAAAGGCTTATATTATGCCTTTGAATCTTTGTTACATAGGTCTCACTTTGTTCTTAGTCGGTATTGAAAGAATTATTATTTAGCCCCGTCCCAAATCTCAATTTGATACCACCAATGACTTAC